GTGATGATTCACTATCAGAGGCTTTGTCTGATTTACTCCTTCAAGTGTTTCAGTTCAGCCCCTAAGTTTGGACAACTTTCTCTGTTACAGAATTCTGTTTAAGTCAGTAGAAGTATTTTCCCTTAGAAGAATCCATCATGAATATTCCTATATTCAATTATTCCCCTTAGCTTTGTCCTTAGTGACTAATCTAAACAAGTTACGAAGACTCCTTGATGTGGACAATCTGAAAGTCCTTCTGGCCAACTATTGCCTCCTGGCAATTTGGTTTGGGAATATGCAATGTTGAAAAGTCAAGCACATTTGGTTCTTTTAAGCTTTACTCACACAAGTCAAGTCCTCCAGGACTCCGGAATTCTTTTTTTTCCCCCCATACTTTTTTGCTTGTCCGATTTTTTTTTTTTTTTTTTTAAATCTAGAACGATGTAGTATCTTGATTAGCTTCACTTGAGACTAAGCCTCAACTGCTACAGCTTCTAAAAATACCATTAAAGTGGGTAGAAGACTAATGGGAATTTTTGTCTTGGCTGGAAAAACAGGGATAGGCATTATGCACTAGCAAGGGACCAAGTTTACTCTCCTACCGTAAGCAATGAAAAGAATCAAATAAAATGTACGAAACAAGGGCTTTTAAAACTTGGACAACAAGCAGAATGGGCAGTGATCACTGAGAGAAGGAAGAAAATATCAGGGCCCCTACCACGACCCAGCTTCCTGTCCGGGAAGTGTTCAGACCACAGCATGCATGGGGTGACCCAGGTGGGGTCCAGCAGTCTTTCTAATTTGAAAAGACAGAGCTGCACAGCAGAGGGAAGGAGCACTGAACAGAGAGACCCCTGGAAGCAGAAGGTTCCCCTCTAGTCTTAAGGTGAGGACTAGTCCGCACTGTGTGTGAGAAAAATATCCCAGGCAAGAGAAAGCACCACTTACAAGGAGCAGGCAGAACAATCCCCGAAGCTCGCCAGAGCAGGGAATCATCTTTATTCCCACCAGCCTGAAAGGAAAAACCTCATGAATCATCAGGCATTAGGAAAAGTGTTCTGCTGGAGGAAAATCAGCCCTCCACTAAAGGTTCTCTAATCACTGTTAAGTGCCCGTGAGTCAGTTCTGACGCACAGAAGCCTCAGGTACAACAGACTGAACAGGGTCCAGTCCTGTACCACCCTCATAACCGTTGTGTGTTTGAGCTGACTGCTGCAGCCACACTGCCAGTCCGTCTCTTTGGAGGGTCGTGTTCTTTTTCACTGACCTCGACTTTACCAAGCATGACCTTCTCCAGGGCCTGGTTCTTCCGGATTACACGTCCACAGAGTGTCAGATGAAGTCTCATCATCCTCACATCTAAGCAGCATTCTGGCTCTACTTCTTCCAAAACAGATTTGTTCGATCTTCTGGAAGTCTATGGTAGAGTCGATGTTCTTCGTCAACACCATCGTTCAAATATGTCAATTCTTCTTCTGTTGCCTTATTCACTCTCCAGCTTTCACATGCATATGGGTGCCTGAAAACAGATGGCCTGGGTCAGGTGTACCTTACTCCTCAAAGTGACATCTTTGCTTTTTAACACTTTGAAGAGGTCTTTTGTAGAAGATCTGCCAAAGCAATATGTTTGTTTTCTTGACTGCTTCTTCCATGGCTGCTAACTGTGGATCCAAGTAAAATGAAATCTTTGACAACTACAATCTTTACTCCATTGATCGTAATGGGCTTCCTGGTCCAGTTGTGAGGTTTTTGTTTTATGTTGAGGTGTTTAAATCAACTCGATGGCAGCTAACCACAAAGGCTGCTCTGGACTGGCCTCAAAAAGCTTAAACGCAAACTTTGAAAGGATCCAACTGTTTCCAAGTCACTCAACTGCATCTTAGAACAAAGCACAAGACTATTGATGGGAACTCAAAATACTCAACACTAAACAAGGTAAAATTCATAATGTCTGACATCTAATAAAAAATTATGACTCATTCAAAAAAGCAGGAAAATGTGGCCAATAATGAAGAGAAAAATCAATCATTAGACAGACCGCAAATGACACATGATAGACATAACAGACGACATTAATGTTGCAATGTGTTCAAGAATGCAGTTCAGAGCACAAGCATGTTAAAGACATGGGATATATTTGCAAAAACACAAACTAGTAGGGGTCTTCAAGTCAATCATCTCAATGTCTGAGAGTCACTTAAAATAATTAATTTCTAATTCCCTTCAAGAAAAAAGGGGGCATCTTTATTCTTTAGACTATTGTGCTGTAGGTTGACTTGTCAAAGACTTCCATCTCAGCAAATTTTGGATTGTCATAGAGCCTCAGCTAAGATTCTGAAACCTCAGACCTACATTTGAAAGAAATAAGTGGCTGGAGCTTTGGAGAGTCTAGAAAAACCTTACCAACTGCCTGGAACATCTGACTAAATGCCCATTTCTTTTGATGCAATGGAAAGTGAGTTCACAGAAAACAGTCAAAAGTTCTCACTGACTATGCAAAACTGTGCTGCTGCCCTCTGATCTGAGGTGGCTTTCATTTCTCCACTGACAATGAAAAAATGATTAATGAACCCTACAATCATTTCCATCAAGCTAGAGTCAATGAGATTGTTTCTAAAACAAACGAAAACCAAACCCACTGCCATCAAGCTGATTCTGACTCACAGAGACCGACCTTATAGGACAGAGGAGAACTTCCCCAAATAACTTCTAAGATTGTAAGTCTTTATGGATATAGACTGCCTTATCTTTCTCCTGTGGGTTTGAACCACTGACCTTTTGGTTAGCAGCCAGATGCTTTAACCACTGTGCCAGCAGAGTTCCTTTTTCTATTTAAAGTATAACAAAATCTTTGAAAAACAATTAAACATTAAAATATTCTGTAACAGTAAGAAAATGTGTTACGGTTTTAGGATTATAAATTGTAGTTCCATCAGAAAAGTAATGAAATCCACAAACACATGAACATATACTTATACAAAGACATATTCAAACTCCCAACAAAATGCTGAGTTAATATTCTTTATTTACATAATTGATAGTATACCACATAAGAAGAAAAGACAATGATCTACAATTAAGCTATTGAGAACACTGTGGAAATAATTATACTTTATTTACTCCAGTTAATTCTTGTAAGAATTCAATATCCCATATATCAAATCTCACCCTATACTTCACAAACTATCCTCAGAGCTGTAGGAAGGCAGATATGCCTTTCAGTTCTTCACCTTGGCTAACTGAGAGATGGATGCAAGCCTGTTGCTAGGAATGATTCAATATATACCAGTGGTCTCCAAACGTTGATGCTTGTGGACACCTCTCAGTAGAGTCAGCTTTGAGCATACACTCCTAAAATAAGTGTACTTATAAATTACATGTACAAGAACCATTGTCTGTTTATTAAATTGTGTATTAAAGCATTGTCGTCAAGTTGATTCTGAGTAATGGTGACCCTACGCGTGAGTAAAACTGTGCTCCACACGGTTTTCAATAGCTGGGTTTCTTTGGGATGTAGAGAGCCAGACCTTTCTTCCAAGGCACTTCTAAGTAGATTGAAACCACAACTTTGTGGTTAGCAACCAAGAGCAGTAACCATTTACACCATCCAGGGACTCCAGATCGTATATTGCTGTTGTCGTGTGCCATGGGATCCGTTCCAGTTCACAGTACCCCAGTATGATACAGCAGAACCGTGCCACAGGTTTTACAAGTCTGTAAATCTTTACTGAAGCAGACTGCCTCATCATTCTCCCACATAGCAGCTGGTGGGTTCAAACTGTCAACCTTCTAGTTAGTAGCTGAGTGCTTTAACCACTGCACCACGAGGGCTCCCAAATAATGTGCCAGTAAAGCTCAATTTCTTTTCTTTAGACAAAATAATATGAGGAAGTACTAGTATTTTCTTCCTATAGCTCACTGGGCCATCTTACATACCACAATGATGGCCAGGTCTTCAAAGCATGAAAAAAGGAAGACAGGAGGTCAAAGTGTTGGCTGTTCATTATACATACTCATTCTGCCTCCTGTTATTGACCCTCAGAGACTCTGTCTCTCTCACAGCACTGTCTCAGTGAGTCTGTTATTAGCTTTGTTGGTGTCGATAATCAACATTTCTCTCTACCTGATCCACTTGACAAGCTTTTCCAATTGTTGTTCTCATGGGCAAAGGTAGGTCAAGACTCCTAATATATGACATGTAAGGGAAAATGGCTAAGAGGGTCCTAAGAGGCCAGGTGGTTTTGGAGCGCGGTGGGGGAGATTCCGTCTGTTGGTGGGCAGGAGGCTAGAGAGGCTGGTGCTAGAGTGCTGAAGACACCTAAGGGATGTGTGTGCGTGTGTGTGTATGTGTGTGTCCAACAATGCTTCCCCTCTAGAAATCAGCCACAAAATTTAATTCCTTCTCTCATTACTTAAGTAGTTGATTAAGAGTTGCTTCTGATAGTCATCAAATGACATAAGGAGACTGTGAACAACTTCACAGAGACAGAAATGACAAAATGCTCACAGATGATATCATCTTTCAGGTGTAGCCCTGCCTGAGTTCTTTCGTCATGTGTAGCACTGACATGAACAGTACCATCCCTTCTTTTTGCTCAAGTGACAAATAATCCCACCTACCTTGTGGTTGAGGAGCTCTGGTAGTGTAGTGCCTAAGGCACTTGACTGCTAACCAGAAGGCTGGCGGTTCAAACCCACCAGCCACTCCTCAGAAGGAAGATGAGGCAATCTACTTCCGTAGTGATACTGCCTCGGAAACCCAAGGAGGGGTCGCTATGAGTCGGGTCCTACTCGATGGCACATAACAACAACAACAACAACAACACCACCCTGTGGTTGGTTACGACACGTTTGAGGTCAGGCTGGAAAGCAGAATGGTACAGACAGCTGTGCACCAAGAACGGGGGTGCTGTAGGGAGTGGGCATGCAAAGCCATCTACAGGGACAGGGGTGCTACGACTGCGCCTGGAGGGTGCGTGCTCTGGTGGCTTTCCTGGACGTTTTTCTTTTGCACTTACATCGCTGAGTCTCTCCTGCGAGCGGCTCCGGTGCACGCCCTTGGATTCGCCACTGGCGCTTTCACTGTCGCTGTCCCTGCAGCTGTTCTGTCCTGGCTTGAGCTAAAGAAAAAAGAGACGGGTAAGAAGGAGAGTGTCAGCAGCTTCCTCACACAACTGCTTCTTAGCTCCTTGTCAAGGGCGGACCATTCAAAGTCCTGACCATTAGCCTTCTTCTCTGTTTCTGGACAGGGAGGCAATCTGGACAGCAGATACCACGCAGGGCAGCATAAAGCAAAGACAATGTCACTGCACAGAAAAGGGAAAGCAAGCCTTGCAGTGGTGACACCTGAAAGTCTAACCAAAGCTCATGACTCACGAAAGTCATTTTTCCCAGGGATTTTTTCCTTCGGTTCCACTGTAATTTTTTTTTTCCCAATAATTAAAAAAAAATGATCATAAGCATGAACTAAGCTAAAACCAGATACACCAACTATGATTCTTTCTGTTCCTTTAGTGAGAAAAGAAAACAGAACAAAAAATAAGATTTCTTCTCCTGGGATAAAATTATGAGATGCTATGATGTTATCCTTCAACCACTGGGAAGACACTTAATGATTTTGTTTTCTGAGACAAAATTTCAGAGGTCTCCTGCCAGGTATATAAAAGTACAAGACCAAGACCTATAGTGTGGGAAAATTAAGTTAGCACTCAGTCAACAAACGTGTTAAGTGCCTGTTTTATGCCAGTCACTAAGGGCCAGAGATAAAGTGCTAAAGAAAAAAAGTCCCTAATCTTCTGAAGTTTACATTTTAGTGGTTTCTATACCTTTACCCAGTACCCAGTTGATTTTCCATAGAAAATGAGGAGACACAGAGTTGACAACCCTCTGTCTGTCCGAGAGTATGAGTCACCATCAGTCTGTGGCAGCCTCGCAACCCCACTGCAGAACCGCCAAGAGAGGCACGCGCAAGGCCATAAGGCGTAGGCCCTTCACGATGTTCTCAATCTCGCAAGAGAAAGTGCAAGCCAAGGAGAAGACGCACCACGAGGCAGACCAACTAAATGGGAACCAAAGGGCCAGCCAGTGACGGTGAGAGATGAGGTGATTCCTGAACGGTTGGATTTTCAAAGCCAAATGACCTCATCTGGCTGAGCGGATGAAGGCAGGCACTCCCCAAGGGGGAGGCAGAGAGCGACATGCCAGGAAGCCATCAGAGGGCATCTTGTCTGAAACAGACCACTCCTTTTAGGGGTAACTAAGAAGACACGTTACAGAGGGACACTCAGATCAGAACACTCCTGAGGGAGGAGTGGTGGTAACAGACCAAATCTACTGCCATCGAGTCAGTTCTGACTCATAGTGACCCTTTAGGGCAGAGTAGAGAAGACCCATAGGGTTTCTGAGACAGTCAATCTTTATGGAAGCAAACCCCAAACCAAACTCACTACCATAGAGTTGATTCCAACTCACAATGCCCCTAAAGGACAGAGTACAACTGCCCCATAGGGTTCCCAAGGCTATAAATCATTACAGAAGCAGACTTCCTCCTCTCTCTCCCATGGAGCAGCTGGTGGGTTCGAACCACTGACCATTCGGTTAACAGCTGAATGTTTTAACCACTGCACCACAAGAGCTCCTGAATATGGAAGTCTCAAACAAAACGCAAGCCCCAGTTTTCTGAATAGGAAGGAACTTCAGGGAGCAGAACAGGTGATAGGTAGCAAAATATTAGCCTGCAGGCTTTCAAGAGGCTCTGGAGCCAGGGAAGAAGATGTAAGCAAAGAAAATGCAGGGTGAGTGGGGCCAGCCTCAGGCCTTCAGTGCTGTCACTAAAGATGGCAGTCCCAGCCCCACTTCCGGCCATACCATCAGCTTCCCGGACACTCCCAGAGCACAGCATTCTTTGCTTCTGGCCCCTTTACAAATCCACTTCCATCACTCTCTTCTAAAATCTTTTTCTTCAGGAAGTCTTCTCTAATAGAGACCAGAAAATGGATGGTAATTTGCCTCTGTATCCGCCTGAGTCCCTAAGTACTTAGTTCTCTCCTAAGTTAATGCTAAACCTGCTAATTCTAAATTAATTCAGATACAAGCTATATGAGCCTTTTATTATTACTATGGAATAAAAGTTCAGAATATTGTCATTCTCTTCAAGTTTTCACTTTCACGCTTATAATAAAGAGGGATTTAATCTAAAATGAACATCACCTTTTCTCATTTTCTGAACATGTTGTATCTACCCTGTCTGCAGGGCTTCCCCCCTTCTCTGTACTTTTGAGCTCAAAACTTTTTTAAAAGCTCAGATGTCCTTTCCTTCATGATGGGTTCTGAGAGCTCATTCATTCTGTATTCTTTTAAAAAAGATACATCTTCCAGGTTCAGCTAGCACATCATTATTATTCATTAAACACCTAGGATGACTGTGGTACATTTTCAAGTTTAAAAAGGCCTATTGGTAGACAAGTTGTACTGATAATAAGATCCGTCTGTGAAGTGAGTGCTCTGGAATTCATGAGCACTATTACAATCCTTACCCCACTGGTTCTGGGACTTACAAAAGGGCAAGAAAAGCGACTGCCGATTCATGGATGGAGAAATAAATAGAGGAAACGAAATGCTCAGAATTAGGCCAAAGATCTAGGACGGAAGTCCAGGTCTTTACTGCCTACTGTTCCCTTCACGTTTTAATTCTTATGTCCGCTTAGGTTTTCAAGTTTAATAAGGAAATGATGATTCTGCAGTTTAGTAGTGTTCTCTGTAGAAGTGTTTTTAATTTCTTTGTGGTACCTGACTGTGTTCACAAAGAAAATATCCGTTTAGGTGACGTTTGATCAAGAGATGTTGATGCAAAGCTGTTTTCCAACTTAGCTGAGAAATACACAGCTAGCTGGGAATTAAGGGGGCAAGATGTCAAAGCTTTTCCTAACAGCCAAGTGCTTTAACAGAACCAGTGAAGTTGGGCTTTTTCTTTGTTTCTTTATGAAAGGAAAATGACAGCTTCAGCAAGGCCCAACAGAAGACTCAGTGGCTCTGACGCAAATTATCTGACTGCCTGTTGATCTAGGCTAAGGGCATGGAGTGAAAGCAAAGGCCAAGAAGGGCTGGGAGGAGACAGCTAGCTAACCCACCCCACACTCCGCCAGCAACAGCACTTCAGCGAATACGCTTCAGAGACTTACATAAAATCCACCCCACGCTACCCCTTTCTCCTCTCCAAAGCCAGGCTCAAGTTTAAAGGAAACTTAGGATTTTAAGCTGTCAGACAGCTCAATATTTCAAAGAAATGGACTGACTACAGTAAGTACTAAAGCTAACCCACAAGATTTCAGGCAAAGAAGTGCTCATTCCTAATCCCATGAATACATTTTCAAACTGGCATTTTCAGACACATCCGGTGGAGCATTTGGGATAGCATAACTCAGAAGCTGTAATCCTTCACCTGCAATTCCCAGCTATTACCTACAACCAAGAGGCACTGCAAAGGCCAGGTGCTGGCTTAAACACTTAAAGACCTAAGAGAAATTGACCTGCTTGCATTGATTTGTCCAAGCACCTATGGCGGCTCTGGTAGAAGAAAGCTTTGCCTATAACTGATGCAATGAGATTTCTTTCAATCAGCCTTTAGATAGCAAAAAGCATCAGTTATTTAAAAATTACTGTAACCCACTCTCTCATTCCAGAAGTTTCTTCCCATTAGACTATCAGACAGTGTAGGCATCAGAATTGGAAAATGAAAGGCAGCCGGTACCTGGCATGAGTGACAGTAATTTTATCAATAAGATTATAATATTTTATAAAATATAAGAAGCCCATTTGCTTTTCCTTTGATTTGTCAACACCACATCCTCCAAACACTGACATTGTGATCATATTACAGAATTAACTGTTATGAATGCCTGATTAGGAAAATAATGATCAATAGTATTTTATCACTGCTAACAAACATAACAAAGTCCATCACCCTGGGCTGAGGGAAGGTAAGGCAGTTCTGTGCATGTCTGCCCAGCATTTGGGAGCCAGGCCTTGACATGCCTCTCACCTTGACTTTGGGGAGGTCCAGCAAGATGCTAGATGCCCAGCAGGTGCCGTTAACCCTTCAAACAAAACTTACAGACAGAAAGGTATGTGGAGAAGCTACCTGGTCCTGGAACTCAAGAGGAACGATGTGAATTACGCAGTGCAATGTGGACAGAGGTCTAACAAGTTTCCTTCCACAGCTCTGGGTCCTCAAAGCAGCATAACCTCATTTCAGACTGCTGGCTTTTCCTGCAGGGATCTAAATGACTTTGATGACAATGCTTTACAAATGTGTCACTAAGCTCAACACCTCCTTTTTTCAGGGAAATTTTAAAATACACCTCTAAAATTCATGACCATTAAAGCAACAAGTCTTTAATCTTGTAAAAATATTGTAGCTGTTATTTTTCCAAAATAAAACCTTCCTTTCTAATATTGGAGAAAGTCATATGGACTGAGAGACATTTGTATTATTTTATTTCTTAGGCTTTAAAAGGTGCTTGAAATGAGAGACATGAATAAAACTAAGAACCTAATTAAAAAACAGAGACATTAAATAAGGTATGAGAAAATAACTACCACAAACAAAAAAGATTCTAAAGTTGAAAAGATGAAGCTATTATTATTATTATTTTTTTTAGCATTATATAATATATCAAATTTTTAAATGTAGAAACACAAGTCATGTCTAAAAGCCAAAAGTTAACAAAGTAGGATAGGGTAAAGAATTAAAAGATGCTAAATTCCTCCAGTCCTCGGAAGGAAGGTTGGGCATTCCTACTTCCGTAGTGATACTGCCTCGGAAACCCAAGGAGGGGTCGCTATGAGTCGGGGCCGACTCGATGGCAAATAACAACAACAACAAATTCCTCCAGGATAATAAAAGTGGAAGTTATTAACTTGTTAATGTCTTCAATAGTTATCCATTGTCTCTGAGTGGATTTGGACGCATAACAGCTCTACAGGACAGAGTAGAATTGCCTCCTGTGAGGTTTCTTTCCAAGGCTATAATCTTTATGGAAGCAGACTGCCATGTCTTTCTTCCATAGAGCAGCTGATGGATTCAAAACTCTGACCTTTGGTTAAAAGCAAGTGCTTAACC